ACTCCCATACTGGGTCCCCTGCACACCCCGGGCCCCGAGAGCATCCCGAACACTCCCACCCTGGGTCCCCAATACACCCCGGACCCCCAAACACTTCCACCCTGGGTCCCCAATACACCCCGGACCCCCAAACACTTCCATCCTGGGTCCCCAGCACACACCGGGCCCCCATGTCACCACCCAACACTCCCATCCTGGGTCCCCAGCACACCCCGGGCCCCCAGGTCACCCCCAAACACTCCCATCCTGGGTCCCCAGCACTCCCCAGGTCACCCCCGAACACACCCAGGCTGGGTCCCCAGCACACCCCGGGCCCCCAGAACACTCCTATCCTGGGTCCCCAGTACACCCTGGCCACCAAACACTCCCATCCTGGGTCCCCAACACACCCCGGGCCCCTATCCTGGGCCCCCAGCGAACATACCTGGTTCCCGAACACCCCGAGGGAGCAGGCGGTGGAGACCTCGGAGGAGCTGAACCACACGGACGCAATGTGGGACGGCATTCCCAGGATGAAGACCTGAGCCGACGCGCACACCAACTGTCCAAACAGCGTCACGCCAAAGAGGTCCGGCCGGGCGCTGCCCGTCTTTATCCAGGCGCCCAGGCAGTTCAGGCCGGCGCCGGTGAGGGCGATGAGTCGCAGGCCGCGCGTTTCCAGCAGCCAGGCGACGGGGAAGATGAGCGGGATGTACGCCAACATGTAGGACATGGACAGCCAATCGATGGCCAGACTGCTGACCCCGTAGTAGCGGATGAAGATGTTGCTGATGATTCCGTACTGGAGCCACTGGAAGGCGTTACACAGCGAATACGAGCTGAAGAGGATGACCATGACCCAGCGCCGGGCGTACAGCCGCGTCACCCGACCTTCCCCCGCCGCCGCCTCGCCATCGCTCAGCATTTCCTGCGAACCCAAATTCTTTTCTCTGGTATCCGGGGAGAGCTCATCCCCCAATAAATCCTCCTTCGCCATGGCGACCACCTGCAACAACAACAAAGAAGTGTCAGCTCTTCTGCCCACAGGAAACACTTCACACCCAGGAGGACGGCCGCTTACCTGACCTACAGCAACGTCCAATCCTGAGACAGGTCACCCGCGCTCCATGCCAACAATGCGACCCCCCCCAAACCGACCGCGTCCCCCCAAACCGACTGTCTCCCCCAAACC